CATTCATTGTGATGGTGGTGTGCCCTGGAGGTGGTTCCGACTCGTAGTCACCTTGTACAGGGTTTCCGAGGCCGTAAATCTTTATGGGAGCTGAAATCTTTGTCTTTGTCCTGTGAAGTACCTGGTAGATTTGAATCACTGACCATGTAGTTTACAGCACAACTCTTAACCCACTAAGCTACCAGGGATCCAAGAAAAATGCAATTCTTAGCAACACCAATCAAGATGTAGTTTATTGGTTCAGCTGAGAGGACACTTGCTTTCTTTACATTGAGTTGTAGCCCATACTGAAGGCTGTATTCTGACCTTCAACTCCTCTTCCCTTTCACCAAAACTTGATTATTGTTGTTGTTCTTGTTGTTAAGTACTGTGGAGTCGGTTCTGACTCATAGCGACCCTGCACAGTGTTTCCGAGGCTGTAAATCTTTACGGGGAGCAGAAAGCTTCATCTTTCTCCCGCGGAACAGCTGGTAGTTTCAAACGGCCGACCTTTAGGTTAGCAGCCCAATTGATTCGTAACCACTACACTACCAGAGCGCCTTTGATTATTGATAGATAACAGCTTTTTCTGGTAGGGTGAGGGGAAGAAGTTTCCAAACAAAAGAAACAAGAGCAGCAAAAATGATTTAATAAGCATTTTACAGATGAGCAATTTGTAGACAAGTTACAATCTGTAACTTGCTTGAGGCTGGATAACTAGCAGGTAATGGGGGCCAGTATGTGAACCTAAATATTTCTTCAAGAAAATAGCAAATTCTTTCCATGACATCTGGGAAAACATAGAACAGAAGGCAGGAACTCTGCCAGATTCTGGCAAAGGGGAAGTGGAAGACAGGAAAGACATCCAGAAAATCTTCCCAGGGAAAGGCAAAAAGGCAGGGAGAGACAAGCGCAGAGGTTCTCTGGCAGCTGGAAAGTGTGGAGAAATCATTGGGACATGGCAGGGAAGTTGGAGAACTTTTAAAGTTTAATTTTATAGCAATTTTAAAATGCTTTAAAGCATGCAGAGGATGTACTGATATCATGATGTCTGCATGTGATTTGAGGGGTGTGGGGGTGGCCTAGGCTTGATTCCTAGTCAGTGCCCCTCATGTGCAGCCACAAGCCAGTGGAAACTTGTGTGATGTCCAGCTGCTGACCAGGTTTCAGTGGAGCATCTAGACTGACAGATTAAGAAGAAAGGCCTGATGATTTACTTACAAAGATCAACCAATGAAAACCCTATAGATTTGATATGTTACTGATATGAGGCTGGCATTTTGTTCTGTTGTGCAAGGGGGCATGCTCAATGGCCATGAATAACATGCTTCTATAGGGGGCTTTGGTAGCGTAGTAGTTAGGAATCGGGCTGCTAACCTCAGGGTCAGCAGTTGGAAACTACCAGCTGTTCCTTGGGAGAAGATGAGGCTTTCTGCACATAATAAGAACAACAACTCATTAACATAACAAAAACCCTATTCCCCAAAGGGATTACATCCACAGATACATGGGTTAGAATTTGAACATAAATTTTGGGAGCTCATAATTTAATCCATAACAACCGCCATTAGCAAAATGAGTGTACACACTCTACCATAAAATTGTGCTTATATAGGTCCTTCTGTCACTCGAAATTTGCTCCCTTGTTTGCCTCCAAACCTGCTCTATTTCCTTATCTACATGCCATTATTCTGAGTCATAGATAAGTTGTTTATTATAGTTTACTTCCTAGTTTAGGATTCCTGATGACAATGGTCCAGGCTGAAGATTATCAGATTAATTGATGCAGTGTATTTTTTTTTTTTTTCCATACTGAAGAGATGGGAGGAAGCAAATAGAAAAAGGGAGGCTGCCAACTTGGAGACTTTGTGATCCCCTGGGAAAGCATTCATATGGCTCTTAGAGGATGGGATGTGACAGGATGTACTCAGCAGTCCCTATGTGATTTGCTCCTAAACAAACAGAACCAGAATCTTGGAAGACATTCACAAGAACCAAGGCTTCAAACCCATTCATTTCAGTTTGACCTCCACCCCTCATCAAGATTTTGTATTTCCACCTGAGAAATAATGTTGCTAAGTGCCGTGGAGTCGGTTTCAACTCATAGCAACCCTGTATAGTGTTGCCAACCAGTGGCTGGTGGATTTGAACTGCAGACCTTGGGGTTAGCAATCCAGTGCTTATCCTTCAGTGCCACACCAGAGATTCTGAATTAGAATCTACATTTTAACTAGAGACATCAGAATTACCCGGGGCTCTTGTTAAAATGTAGAAGTGATTAAAATGCAAAGAAAAGTACTTGTGGGTGTAAATGTAATATCTGGGATCTGCTTTAAAACATTCCAGCAGAAAAAACAAAACAAAACAAAAATGAAAAGGGAACGACAAATAAAGCAAATTTGGCAAAATGCTGGTAATTGTTGGAACTGGACAATGGCTATAAGGTAATGCAAAACATTCTAGAACAACGTTAAAAAAAAAGACTCCTTTTTTTTCAAGTTCTAAAATCTGAGTGCTCATCAGAATCACCTGTGGAGGGTAAAGGGTCTGCTCTGCCAGTCCTCTGGCGTCAATCCTGAATGAGGACGTTTGTCTGAGGGTTTGCTGGTAGAAGATGGAGTCTGTCCTAATTTCCCACTGATGCAGCCAGCCCTGGTAGCCAGTGTAGGCACATGCCACTGCTTCAGACATGTCGGACTCAGGAACTCTTACTTCCTCCCTTCCTACTCTTTCCTGTCCTTTTCTGTCTCTCTTATCTCCTCCCTCTCGCTCCCTTTGAAAATTAAAACTGAGAGTAGGAACCTTCAGAAGAGCACAAAGAAAATCCAGTTACGTTTGCGTGGACTCCAACTCATGAGGATGCTGTGTGTGTTCCATGGCGTTTTCAGTGGCTGCTTCAGAAAGGTATCACCACGTCTCTAGGTGGCATCGTATCTCCGACCTCTCAGCAGAGAACCTATTAACCTTTGCATACTGCAGGGACCCTCAGAGGTGTCCAGAGCTCTAGCATTCCACTGGTTGCAGGCACCAATAGGCCTTTCACCTATTATAGTGGGTCTCTGTCATCCCTGTTAAACCAGAGCCGTGTACCTGAGGACAAGGCCCTACTCTCAAGTACTCATTATTGTAAAAATCTTATCTTACTACTTGGAGTCCTGGTGTGGTGGCATGGTTTAATGTATCGAACTGCAGAGTCGTTTTGAACTGCAAGGTCGGCAGTTCAAGTTCATCAGCTGCTCCTTGGGAACCCTATACAGGGTCGTTATGGGTTAGAACTGACTCGACGGCACTTCACAACAACAAATCCTCATGGGTGAGAGATGCAGCCGTTACACAAATGTACATCAAAACCAAGTGGTGTGGGAAAAAATGTCTTAATCTTTGAGCCCATCTTTCTCTTGCATCATTCATAAACATAAAACACCAGCACATGTTCTTAAATAACTTATTTTTTTAATTTTAACTCTTGTGAAAAGTTACATTTACTTAGTTAAACTTCAAGAAATCCAATAAAGAATAAAAGGTGATTTAATAAGGACAACTAAATGTGCAAATTTCAAACATTTTCTATAATAAGTATAAATAATTCTATTTTCACATTAAGAATGAAAATATCGATACACATAAAATATTAAAATATCACCTTTGAAAGAAGCTGATGGAAACACTGAAGTTGATCTTTCGAAAGAAATTGTCAAGACTTTCAGGGATAAAAGGCTGACATGAACTCCAAGTGGAAAAAAGGTCACATAATACAAAGAAAAGGCTACGTGTAGTTACAGATTATAGACATTTTCCAGTCATAAGTCCAGACCAAAGGAAAAATGGCAGCCTTTACCTCTGGGAAAAACGTATTTCCCCTCCTTTTTTTCTCCTAGAGTAAGTATGACAGTTAAATGCAGCACATAGAGAAATTGCAGACCAAGGGGAGACAGAAATGTCCTCAGGCTCACGGTGACCTGGCTTTGCTGTCTCAGTGTTATTGTGTGACACATTAACACAGCGAATAAAACACATCATTGGAAGTGACCTTCCTCTACTCCTTCCCAACCTTCTCTCCAAGGAGGTAGGACACTCACAGGTATCTACAGAGTGTGGAGAAGTTTCTTAGCATATGGTTGGGAAGTAGCTCTGGTCAAAGCTTCCTAAGAACGAGGGTAATGTTTTAATGAATTTACACTTGATGCAATTCCTTCTTTTCAAGGGCAAGGAAACAACAATGTATCTAAGTGGCAGATTCCCACTGTGGAGAGGAACTTGCCAGTTTCTATAAGGGTGACCCAAAGTGAATGAATCTGTCAACTCAAGAAGACACTTCAGCATTTTCCCTCAGCACAGAAGAAACAACTTCATTTAAATAATCTTGAAGTTTGTAATCAATTAGGTGAACCTCTTTAGAAGTGAAGGCGGTGATCAACAAAAGAGGTACACAACTGCCATCCAAATCTTCAGAGGGTACGTATTGCAAGAGCAGCTTGTTTGCTTTTCAGTGCAAACTTATTCAGTCTCAGCAGCATCACAATCACAGTCTGTGGACAGTTGTGCTTTTGCCGCGTGCAGAGGAAAGGCACCAGGCAGCTAGGGGAAACCCACTAACTACTGGCGCTCTCCAAGTATGTTCATTTTCCCTGAGCTTCCTTGAGCTTCTCACTGAGGGCCCTGGTACCCTGAGGACTAAGCTCTGGGTTTCCTGTCCTGCCTGCCTGTGTGTCTTCTCCCTTTTCTTGAGATGGCATTGCAGTCCTGGTGGGCAGAATGGAAGATGATGGCCAACCTTGGCACGCGTTCCCAATCCAGAAAAGTTCTCAGCTCTCTGCTCGGTGGAAGAGGAGGAATGGCCCTTGGCTTGGCTGACTCTTGCCACCATCCAATCCTGAAGCAAGATGGGAGTGATCTTTCCTTTCCCTGCTCAGAGGACCCCTCAAGCTCACTGTGGCCAGGACTGCTGCTCTGTGGCATCCCAGTACTGAGAGAGTAGCACCATGTTGGCAGCGAACAGCTCTTGGCCCACCTTTGTCTACTTAGCCGTACATCTGCTTGAACTGAAAACACTCGTTGCAGTAGCCGCTACACTTGGTGTTGCCGAAGTGTTCGCAGGCGGGAGCCCGGCAGCGCTGCTTAGGGGGCTCATCTGGAGCGGGTTCCCCACGATGGGGTGCTGGGGCCACTCGCTGGCTGAGGTGTTGACATTCTATGCAGAGTTCTTCATTGCGGCAGGCCAAGATGTTCTTGCAGGAGGCCCGGGCGCACTTGGGCCGCGAGGAGCTCTGGGTGGTGCGCGGCATGTCTCGGCACTGGCTGGACCTCTGCATGGGACAAGAACAGGAAAGAGTCATGCATGATTCTCCGCATAAGTAGGAGAGCCCATGAGCTTGCACTGGACAGTGTGCATTCTGGGGCAGGGGAAAGCATCTGCCTGACCAAGGAAATGATAGACCACGTGTAACCTATGAACAAGACCACCTGCCCAACCCAAGGGAAGCCAGGGGCTCCAAGGGAGGCTGAGTAGGACCATCCATCATACCAGGGAGGTCTGAAAACTTGGCCCAACTTGCTTTTTTGTGCCTCATCATAAACAGCTCATTTTTAGATAGCTTTCCTACCACGCACTGCAAGCAATGCAAAAAGCATCAACCAGACAACATTTGCTTTTCTTATACATCGATGAGTGCAGCATCTTGGGGTAGGTGCTCTGCCGCCTTCTAGCTCCTAATGAAAACCAACCAACCAAACCAAGCCAGTTGCTGGCAAGTCGAATGACTCATAGTGACCTCACGTGTGTTAGAACAGAACAGCATTCCCCAAGGGTGGCAATGGCTTTGACCTTTCTGAAGTAGATCACCAAGCTTTTTTTCCATGGTAACTGTGGGTGGGTTAGAACCACCAACCTTTTGGTTAGTACTCAAACGTTTCCCTGTGTGGGTCACCCGGGGACTCCCCTCATGACCTCCTATCCACTGCTACTGACTTGCTTCTCACCCAATAGGACAAAGGAGAACCGCTTCCTCGGGTTTCCAAGACTGTAAATCTTTATGAGAACAGACAGGCTCATTTTTCTCCTATGCAGTAGCTGGGTGGCTTGAACCACTAACCTTGCAGGAGTGGGTATCTAAGGAAACTCATTGGACACTTAGATGTCTATGTTATTGACTACAAGTCAAAGAAGCCTTTGACATTTGCCACTTTAGATGTTGCAGGAGATTTTATTGTGAGGATGCTTTTACTGGCATTTTGAAATATACTGTACAGTAAACTGTTATCCTGACAGTCTACAGCAGCTGCTACTGCACCTCTACCCCTCGGAGCTCCAGAGATGTGAGCATTTTGCCCTGAACACATTGACAGGGAGGCAGGGACCTGGCACACACAGGAGGGCAGGACCTCAGTGTCTTACCACATGTTCTTCAGTCCTCTTGGCGTCATGCAATCTCTGACTCTGAGCTTTGATGAAACACTTCTGGCAGTATCCTTCAAACATCTTGCTTCCGAGGGTGCCACATTCTCTCCCCAGGCAGGGAACTGTGTTCTGGAACCTGGAGGTTGTAGGATTGGCTTTCCCCAAGGCAGCAACAAGATCTGAAACAGAGTTTACGCTCATAAGTACCACAGAGGGATAACCACACAGAAACAGCACGCTGACATTAGAGACATAAATGGAATGTCCCCATATGGAACAACCAGCTGCCATCAAGTCTTGATAGATACATGAGACTCGCTTTTTATAAATTCAGCAAAATTTTTAAATGATGCTATTTTTGAATCATCTTTGGATTGACAAATCACCCCCTTTTGGACATCTGCTGCTGATCATTCAGAGTAACAAAATGGCAGACACAAACTGCCAATCCTTCTTAGAGTTAGAACGTCCTATTAGCGCACTGTGCTCTTCCAATATCAGTCAGGACACCCCTGTCCCAGGCTACTGCTCATCAGATTGGGAGGGTTCTCTATCAGACCAGTGTGCAGAAATCTAATTTAGACTCTCAGTGATACAGGCCAAAGACTGTTTTACAGACAGGAGCCATGGACTCTCTGGACAGGGTGTGTGGTTTTGGGATCATGGTGCTCTGAGAGCCTTTCCCTCCACATGGGGCACTCGGAGCCACTGTAGCAGCATCTGAGCAGCCCAGGCAGATCTAACCATCCTACCAACTGCCCAGATCGGCCCTTCTCTCCAAGTGGAAGAATAAAAACCCTTTTGGCCAGTAGCTGCTGCATTAGGAAATCAAGTCCTTCACTCACGTTTGTTTTCTCTGTACTCGATGAAACACAGTGTACAGAAGCCCTTGTTTTCTGGAGTCCCAAAATACAGGCAGCCGGCTTTTCGGCACTTACTTGTGCCAGTCCTATCCTCAGGAGTCCGTGCAGCCTGGGAAAGGCAGCCCGGCGGAGTCTCACTTCCAGCTCTGTGGCAAGAATGTGGGCTGAGACTCTGTATGAGCTGGGACGGATCGGACTTGGACCGCTGGTGATAGGAAGGAGGGACGCCAGAGCCGAGGCTCGAGGAGGGCTCCATCGTAGTCCTTTTGAAGCAAGTGCTGCAGATCCCATTAAACGTCCTGGTGGCATCCTGGAGGCAAGCTCGGCACTTGCTAGGATCTAAATGCCTCATGGGGTCCACATCGTGGCTGCTGCGAAGCTGTCGGGCATTATGACAACGCTCACAAAATCCATTGTGCTGCACATTCAGTGTGAATGGGCAGCCGGGGCTCCTGCACTTCATGGCGGTGGTCTCACTAAACAGGAAAAGGCTCGGTGCTGTTGGTGGGGCTGAGTGAGGCCCACCAGTGGGCTCCTCAGGGCACCAGGCCACAGGTTCACAGGCCTCACCCCGGGAGGCTCCGAGGGCCATGCCAGGGAGTACTTCAGGGCCCACCTTAGAGTTCAGCTTTGGGGGTTTATGATGATTCTTCTGCCGCCTCTCCGAGCATTCATGGCATAACGGCTGTGTGTTTACGGACATGAAGAAAGGGCAATTAGGAGTTTCACATTTTAGGTCCATGAGAGAAAGCTGGGGTCCGGAAGGCTCCAGAGGATTCTGGGTGTGCACATCTCTCTGTCCCTGCAGGTTACTCTCCTGCCACTTCTTGTACTCGTGTTGCACGAGTTCAAAGTAATCATCGACCAGGTTTATTTCTTTTGGTAAGTTAGCCTCATCCAACCTAAGGATCAAAGGAGAAAGTATGAGCACACCATTAATCAGCTCACAGAGCAAACTTTTAGGGTGTGGATATCTACTACAATCAGCTGCTGAAACATAGGCCTGTGATAAAGAGTCTGCACCTTCTATGTAGCATGATTCATACACCTGCCGGCATGTTCTAATGTCAAACACAATATACGGCAGAGTGAGGAGGAGACGTTATTATTTTTAAAATCCCAGTCTCTGTCCATCAATCTTACCCCACTCCAAATTGTATTTTGAAGAAAGCGCTATTCCAGGGAGACTCTAGGCCTCTTTCCCAGTTTCCATGGAACAATAACCATGCGATGGCCACTCAACACATTTTACTACGGTCTGTATCTGACATGGCTAGCCTTACCAAGAAACCAAGGGAAAAGGCTTTTGTTTCCAAGAGCCTTCAATTGCTAGTCTTTCTACATAAGGAGCGCCAATGGTACTATGGGTTAGGTGTTGGACTGCTAACTGTAAGGTCGGCAGTTCAAACACACTTGCTGCTCCTTGGGAGAAAGATGAAGCTGTCCATTCTTATGAAGATTTACAGTCTCAGAAATCCTGTAAAGGATTGTTATGAGTCAGAATTAACTCATTGGCAGTGAGTTTGGGGCTTAGTCTTTCTACTGGAGTCCCTGGGTAGCACAAACAGTTCAGCACTTAACTATTAACTAAAAAGCTGGTGGTTTAATCACTCCCAGGTGCCTTTGAATAAAGGCCTGGTGCTTTGCTCCTGAAGGGTGGTCAAAACCTTGAAAACTCAAGGCAATGCTGTTCTACTCTGCAACACAGGGGTCTGTCATGAGTTATAATTGCTCAATGCCAACTGGTAGTCATTTTATTATGTATTAGGGCAACTAAGAAACCAAGCTACTGTTGGCAGACACAGACATTTACAACCCACAGTTCTGATTCTCAGCATCCAGACATCCAGGAAAATCCATGGATGAATTACTTGCTTCCACTTGAAACCGAAGGGCTCTGAATTTGTTTCACATTTGAAAACAAAAACACCTCCCCCACCCCACCCCACCCCCCAAAAAAATCAGTTTCAAATCAAATCTTGAGCAGAGGGATGGTAGCATCACATGCAGCTCACGTTGTAAAAACAATGATGGGCCAACAAGAATCTACCTACTAAAGAAATTCTTACTTTGCAGCATTAATCAGATGGGTGGTGCCGAGGTCCCAGCCTTGGACGGGGATTTCTATCACTATTAAGTACTCTTTTAGTAGCATTTCCTTCATCTCATTTTCAGGATCTGTCAAGAAGTGAACTTTTAAATCTTCAAATCGCCCTCGGTCTTTGTTAACAAGTGGAACAGCTCGAATTTCTGAGGGAAAAATAACATGTAAGCAAAGGATTATTGTACTAAAAGAGGGTACAGGTGATGTGATGATTAAATTGTGAAAGTATACAAAGGATACAATTAAAGAACGAAAACTGTTTTCTAGTGCAAGTCAGAGCCCAATGAAAAAGCGAAACTCTAAGATCTTATAGGATATTAAGCAGAGTCCAGGAAGTAGGTGTGAATAGTTAAATTCCCATACTTCAGAATCAGATGGTGACAGAATAATAGCTTTGTCACTATCAAATTGTACCATTATTTCACCTCTCTGAGCTTCAGTTACCTTGTCTGTTAAAGAAGGTGTACCCTGTCTACACCACATAGGCAAGCTGCGCAGATGAAATGAAATGAAATAATGTGCATAAAGTACGAGTACAGTGCCTACTCCACATTAAGCTAACTACTACAATAATAGCTAACACTGATACACATTTAGCTGCTGTATTAAGGCATCGTCTTAAGGACTGATGTTGCTGTTAAGTGCCGTCCAGATGGTTCCCACTCATAGCAACACTGTATAAGGGTTCCGAGGAGTGGCTGGTGGGTTTGAACTGTCGACCCTGCTGTTAGCAGTCTAATGCTTATCCTACAGTGCCACAGCAAGAACCCAGGAGTTTGTATGTCTTAATTTATTTGGTATTAATAGTAATAGTAGTTGTTAGCTGCCACCGAGGAGATTCTGTCTCATGGTAACCCCATGTGGGTCAGAGTAGAACTGTACTCCATAGGGTTTTCAATGGAGTTTTTCAGTAGTAAACTGTCAGACCTTTTTCCCAGGGCAACTCTGGGTGGAGTCAAACCTCCAACCTTTTGTTTAGCAGCCAAGCACGTTAACTATTTACAGCACCCATGGACTCCGTAAAAAGTAATGGTGATATATATACAATGGGGCTTCAAGAAGTTCGTGGGCAAATACTATGATGTTTTCATTGCATTTTTCCATGGACTTTTTGAAGCCCCCTCTTACATATTTCCAACTTAAGTACAAATATGCCAACTGAAAGGACTTTCCAAACAGCAGCATAAACACAACAAGGTAAGGGACTATGGAAACCCTGTACAGGGTCGCTATGGGTCGGAACCGACTCGACGGCACTTAACAACAACAACAACACTATTATATTACTGTTACTAAAGGAGTAAATGAGAGGGTAATATAGTTAAACAAAAGACACCTATTTAAATAAAAGCCTTTCTCTGAGAAGTAAAGGAGCAAACCGCAATACTCAGTGAGAATAAGCTAGATCCGGATTGACCAGAAGGTACTGATGTGAACAGGTCCTGTTTGCTCACCAGGTCCACTGTCTTTGAAGGTCACCAGAGGTACAAAATGTTGACTGTCATAACCAAGGACGATAGGGTATCGGTAACATTCCTGGGCAGGCCAATGGAGAGGTAAGTAAATTCCGCCAACTTTCAAAGGAGCAAAATTTGAACCGGATTCCAAACTTCTCAGCATTTTGTCTGTTTAAGGAAAGAGAAAGAAAATAAGGCCCTGGGGCGACTTCCATCAATTTTTAGCTACTGTTACCTGTAGCTCTGGTATTTCCTAACGCTGAAAAGCACTGAATACAAACCAGTAACCTGCAGGCATCTTACCTGAAATGACAATGATGGGCCTTCTGAGAATGTTACACAGGACAAAGATGTGTATCTCTTCCAAGGAGTGATACTGAAGTCTGCCGCGGGCCCCGGGAGTGTCTGTGGATGCCATTTTGACCACGTCATCCCATTCGTCATCCCAATTCTAACAAGATGAAGAGAAACAAAAAACAAAAACAATGGACTAAGTGGGCTTTACATTAAAATATCACTCTGACTCCATACTAGTACTCTTCATTTATATAAGTCAGCTAATTTTTCCCCTTTCTTGAAATAATCATTGAAATGATCACCCTTTTCCCCACTTCGGGCTTGCTTCCTTTGTGTTTTTCATTACTAGGCAAACTCAAAAGTGGGGGAGGATGGGGACAGTACCCGCTTTAGAAAAAAACAGAGCAAAACAACACCACGACCCTGATGAAGAATAACCTTGAAGCTCCTCATCCAAATGTACACAGAAATTCCAAGCGTGTGACTGAGAATGGTAAGCACGTGGTTGCCTGTGATTTGCTGGCCCAGCAAAGCATGTATAGCACAACCAAACCAAAAAACACATAAAGGAACTCCATTTACAAAGGCTATAAGCATCAGCCCATCTGCTCAAGTGAAGAAATCCACGGGCCTGGGGCTTGTGAGCCACAACAAATACCCCAGGTTCACCCCACAGAAGATTTCCTGGTATTGTCCACTGAGTAGGCTTTGATTAGCCAGATTCACATGACCTAGTAAACTGTGAGCTCTAGGAGGGTAGGGACTAAGCTTCCCTTTATCCACCAAGGAACTCAGTCAGGACAGGCTGAAAGGGAGAGCAAAACATACCCGAGTGTCATAGCAAAGCCCCGTTTCCACAAACTCCTGAGACTTCAGAGACTCCAGTTGCCAGCGGAATCTGAAGTTGCGTGTGTCAGTCTCCTTGAGCGTGCTGCAGAGAGCCTTCCTTAGGACCAAGTCTGTGTCTTGAACACCCCACATGTACTGAGAAGCAGCATGCATCAGGCAGTTCCCATCCCCTGAAGACAGAGGGAAGCAAACAGCAGTGAGAGGGACTCTAGTTGAAGCCTCGAAAATGTTTTCAGAGTAAACATGTCCTACAGCTATCATCTAGTGTGGTGCTGCAGGATAAAGCACTGGACCGCAAGGCCGGCGGTTCAAACTCACCAGCTGCTCCTTGGAAAGCTGTTACAGTGCTGCTATGAGTTGGAATCAACTTGATGGCACTTCACAACAACAACAACAGTTGCTATCATCTGGTGGTGGTGGTGTGCCATGGAGTTGGCTCTGACTCACAGTGACCCTGCATAGGGTTTCTGAGGCTGTAAATCTTTAGGGAAGCAGAAAATCTCATCTTTCTCCCATAGAACCGCTGGTAGTTTTGAACTGCTGACCTTGAGGTTAGCAGCCTGACTCGTAACCACTACGCTACCAGAGCTACCCTTCAAATAGTGTGTCCTAATACCTTTGATGTTGGAAGATGCCACTGGTCTTTCCAATACCAAAGGGTTGTTCACAGTGGACGTTTCAGTGGAGCTTTCAGACTAAGACTCACTAGGCAGAAAGGCCTACAGATCCACTTCCAAAACTGAGCCAATGCAAATCCTATGAGGATAAAAGAATACAGTCTGACATAGTGCCAGAAGATGAGTCCCCTACATGTGATTGTTGTTAGGTGTCGTCAAGTTGGTTCCGACTCATAGTGACCCTGTCTGTATAACATTTCCAAGGAGAGGCTGGTGAGTTTGAACTGCCGACCCTGTGGTTCAAACTGACCTGCAGTCCAGCGCATTATCCTGCAGCCACACCGGCAATGAAAATACATAGTGGTCCAACCATGAACTGAAGCATGCCAGTGATTCTGAAGAAGGGGCAGGGCTGGGCATTGTTTTTTTCTGTTGTATAGGGGTCTCTGGAGTCCTGGTGTGGTGCTGTGGGTTAATGCGCTGGACTACAAAGACAGTTTGAACCACAAGGTTGGTGGTTCAAGCCCATCATTTGCTCCTTGGAAACACTATACAGGGTCACTATGGGTCAGAACCAACTCACAAACTTAACAACAACAACAAAATTGGTGGTCTCCAGGCGTGGACTTGAGTCCTGGTGTAGCATTGTAGGAAATCAGGGCGGCGGTTCAAACCCACCAGCTGCTTCTTGGAAACCCTATACAGGGTCGCTATGAATCCTAAACTACTTAACAACACTTGAACAGCAATAACAACAGGAGAGGACTAGGTGGCAGATAACTCCCACCCTGCAGTCTTAGGGTAATACAGAGGACATGCTATGCAATGCAAATACTTTCATTTCTTAGTCAAATAACCAACTGATAACATTTCACAGGTAAGTAACAGTTTTAAGGAAAATAAGGGAGACAGGGGGCCTTGGCTTCTGCTTGGGGTTGCCACTAATTTAGGTAACTTTAGGGGAAATCCCTTAGCCTCTGGATGTTTTTCCTCTTTATGAAATTAGGCCATTGGACTGTGATCTCAAAAGCCCTGTTCCTTTCAAACATTCCTTGAATTTCTGGCTAAGGCCCAGACACTCCATCTCTCTATTTTAAAGTGGGAGCCCTATGGCAGCTCATACAAACCAGGAAACAGGCCTGGAAGGGGTACTAGACAGGGGCTGCCTATGACTCAGTGGTCAATGACTTGACCATTTCCACTTGAGACTGTGGACTTGGGCGTTTCCTCTCCTGATTTATACAGTGGAATGACCCCACCAACTACTTACTGCCCACCTCCACTGCCCAGAAATGCTTGATGTAGATATGCTTGCTAACAACTGTGACATCTTTAAGAAAGTTATACAGCATGTCTGGTCATCTAAATGTGAAGAATTCAGTCCTGATGACTGACATTTTGAGCATTTTGAGAGAAAAAGCAAAGCAAAACAAAGCAAAACAGAACTAGTTTTATTCCATTATTTTGTGACTTTTCTAGGTTAAAGCTGCAATTTAATAATGATATGTGTTTCAATCCCCTAAGCACTTTACCTTAAGGAGCTCTGGTAGCGTAGTGGTAACAAGTCAGGCTGTTAACCTCAAGGTCAGTAGCTTGAAACTACAAGCTGTTTTGCAGCAGAAAGATGAGGCTTTCAGCTCCTGTAAAGATTTACAGCCTCAGAAACCCTATGCAGAGTCGCTATGAGTTGGAACCGACTCCATGGCACACTACCACCACCATCACCAAGCACTTGACCTCAAGGTCAATGGGTCAAATTTACCAGCTGCTCCTAGGAAACCCTATATAGGGTTACTATGAATTGGAACCGACTCGACGGCACTTAAATAACAAAAAACAATAAATATATAGGGGAATTCTTAAGACATAAAAGTGAACTCCTTCATCTCATTGTTGTTGTTGTCAAGTGCGGTCGAGTTGATTCCAACCCATAGCGACCCTGTATAGAGTTTCCAAGGAGCAGCTGGTGAGCTTGAACCACTGACCTTGCAGTTCAAATGGCTTTGCAGTCTGGAGCATTAACCCATAGCACCACACAAGGAGTCCTCATCTCCTTGGCCAAGTGCAATATTCTTTTTATAAAGAAAAAGATACACTGCTTTCTTACATTACTGTATAACCAAGGCAATAAGATAATTTACAATTTTATTTACTACTAAGCTAACAAAAAAATCCCAAACACTCAGCTCTCTCCCTTCAATTTACACACTTGGAAAGACTAACCAAATAAGTACCCAAACAAATGAACAAAAAAAGATCGCTTAAGCCTTGTGTCCTGGCAGAAGTGTGGTAACTACTTTATTCTGTTGAAATTTCCCCTTTGCAAAATCTAGAGCAAAGATAAGGCTTTTTTTTCTTCTTCTTGTGCTTACTTTCAGTTCTTTATTGAGATGCACCAGTACAAAATTCCCTAAGCAACATCTGGAATTCCCCAGTGCTAAGTTATTTGACTAGCCATTGAGCAATAGCTATTGTACTTTTTGTTCTGGTGTGTAGACATTTAAGCTGCGAGGTGCACCCTGGACTTTCCAAGTGGGTGTGGTCAGGGTGAGTTGGAATAGGGCTACTCATTATACAAGCGAAATGCTGTAGCCAATAGACGCTGGAATTTTTCACATGAAGTTTCAATTTTATGCCACCTCCTCCCTTCCTCATTCACCACAGTCTCATATCCTCAAATGCAAACTTGTGAATCACCCCCTCCTCACACAACCCATTGAATGCATAGAATCCTCCTATAGAGAGACGGCTTACCAAGAAAAAAAAGGGGGAAACATGGAAAGAAAAGTCATTTCCCTCCTTAAATATATTTTCTTCCTTTTTCAGAATTTTATGGTGTTTTCTTAGAAGTGTGGAGATTAAAGAATCCTGACCCTAAAAATCCTAGTTTCCCAGATAATTAAAAAAATATATACTTCCCCCACTTGTGTAGCTTAAGATCTACAGTGAATCCTTGTTACTTTAAGTGTTTACTATTTATACTACACTTTTTTCTATTAAGGAAACAAGATATGTTTAACCTAATAATGCCAGTTAATACAATTAATGATAACAAGGATCCTCTCTTTTCTATTACATTTCTAACTCAGTAAAATACCATTGTATCCAACTTTCCCAAAGTGGTCTCCCATCCTGTTTTTGCAACAAAATGGGAGAGTTAAACCACAAACTGGCAGACATCTTGTTGTTGTTAAATGTTGCCAAGCCGGCTAACACTCCTAGCGATCCTAGAGAGGGTTTCCGAGGACTGGCTGGTAGGTTTGAACCACAGACCTTGTGGTTTGCAGTCCAGTGCTTATCCTACAGCAACACACCAAGAATCTAGCAGGCATATGAAACCCTGAATGAAAACATAGTCGTTGATTTCTATTTATCACTTGATGTAATACCATGAGTTGTACACAAGCTATCGAGTTCCAGTTTTTTACTACCAAAGTTTCTAAGAATCTATGGTTCACCCATATAGGGAGCACATTGTGATGATGCACAATACTCCACACCAACAACAAAAAATGTACACTTACCAACCACCCAAGTCTAAAATGACCAAAGTTACTATACCAATTAATTAATGTTCTTATCAAACTCATTATTAACAAGGAATATGATATTTTGAATGGATGGTTTATGAATGTCATTGATTAAAAAAAAAAAAATCTGAGATTCCTGTTCTTACCTAGATGTTAAGCATTTAATTAAGGTTGCCTACGCCAACTTGATGGCATGTAACAAAAACAACTCTTAAGTATTAAATGTCTACTTATTGTAACAATTGGAGTCCTGGTGTGGCACTGTAGGTTAATGTGCTAGACTGCATAGTCAATTTGAACTACAAGGTTGGTGGTTCAAGCCTACCAGTCGCTCCTCGGAAACCCTCGAGAGGGTCGCCATTGGTTGGAACCGAATGGACGGCACTTAACAACAACAACAACAACAACTGTAACAATTATCTAATCTATAACATACAATTTTCTAAATGCACTAAACAATTTGCTTGGACATTCTGTTGAGGTACACACAAAACAGTAAAATAAAGCACAGGAAAAGCTACTAGTGGTAAGGCACACTGGATGAGCAGACACAGACAAGAAGACATAACTAGGAATCACTAGAAATAATAAAGTAAAACAACAACAGGCAACAAAGCCTGGGTGAGCAGGGAAGCGAATAAAGGAGTCTTCTAGTCTCCAGTAGCCATTCGCTGGTTATCACAGAACACGGCCACCAATTCAAGAGGCCTAAGGCCATCATCCCAAGCATTTTCTAATTACAATGGGAAACGAGAGCAATGTCTCATTTTCATGCCATGCGTTCCTTTTGAACTTAAAGCCCGTTACTGTTTCCATTACTGGGTAGGGTAGGACATTTGACAGTTGAATGGACAGTAACAAGCATGAGATATATAAATCATCTAACTGGGGCACGGTGCTTAGACATGCACTCTCTAGGATCCAGTGCTTTCTAACATACAGGCCTCGAAAACATCATGAATCATATTCGCAAAACAAGGTTACTTTTATGATGTATGCCTCTTACCAGGTTTCTATACCAAGGTGTCTACGGACCCTAAGAGATGGTAGTCTGGACTAGTGCCATTACTATTTCAGTAATGGAGACCAAGCACCAAGCACCTTAGAAGCCATTCCCCAGACAAAACAAGTGGCACTGGGCCCATCTTACCATTTGTTTTCAGAGCCACAAGCTTCCGGACTTCTCGACACCAGTTAAGCTTCCTCTGGCTTTCAAGAGAGGCTTGGATGTTTCTGTCGATGAGAGCCTTGTGGATGATCTCTCGAAACTGTGGACAAAACTGGCAAGTTCGGAACATTTCCAGGGTGTATCGGTGCATGGTTTTAAAGTGATGAATTATCCCATTGGTAGGTTTAAAAATATCTTCTGGAGTTCGCTCTCTGATCTTCACAGCTTTCCGCATGTTGCTCAAATACAGAGCCTGAGGAAGGAGTTGTTCAGCCATTGTGTTCTTCAACACCTGAAGACGAAGGGAAAAAAACCCATTCCGTTAGCCCAAATTCGACACAACTTCTATATACCTGCCTGCAGGAAACCCCAGTGTTTGATCTTGTCATTAACCTAATCTTGTAGGCAAAGATCTTAGTCACCTCCACTCCAGGATACGAGCTGGCCCCAAAGATTAACTCACACTGGACTGTTTTAAATTACATCACTTTTAAAGATTAGTCTAAACAAGAGAAGGAAGGCGGAGAGTGGGGACTGAGGAGGAGGGGAATAACCCGTGTTTTCAGTAATGTTTGTCAGGGAGCCAAGCCTGTCTGTCAGCAACAGGTACTGTGTTTCCTAATCAACTTAAGCTCCCATTTAATTCAGATGCCATTCCTGGGCACTCTCAGGATTTGAGGAGTTCTGAATGCCAGTTATGGGCATACCTCAGACCTGGCAAGTCTGTAGCTTCTCTCCTAAGGATGCCACCAAGAGATCCTTGCTCTTGGACTAAGTCTTAACCCAACCTTTTGTCAAGAATCCCTCTCTCTGTCTTCTGGAAGGAGAAGAAATCATTTGTGAAAAGCCCTGCACTGTATGATCTCTGTCACCCAGGCTGCTACTGATAAGTCCTCTTTAGCCCAGAGAGAGAAACATGTAGAAAGAATTGAAATGGCATATTTTGTGATCAATGAAAATGCCTATTTGCAGCAAGCTGCTTTGCAATTAGTAAGAATAGTTGGCATTCCTTCAAAACCCTTTTCTACGAAACGTAATAGCACTATAATACTACAAAGACCAAAACCAACTACAGAGCAACACAGTCTACACTTCCAAGGGCAGACTCAGGAGCTCAATTATTTCAGTTCAACTGCCAACCAAATTTCATCATCATCCTCCAGGTACCAACACGTGAGATACATTTAGCACTCTTTGCTTCACCCTAAAATCTACAAACTGGTAGGGAAGAAATGAAAGTTTGGAAGTAGCCAAGGAAAAAACTTACTGCCAGGGTGCTACTCCAGACAAATGAAAGAGGAATGGGAGCAAAGCGCAGTACCTCCAAACTATGCCAACAGAATAGAATGATGAGAACTGATGAAACATGGGACCTTTCCAGTGGGGAGTTAGGGGAAGGACCAGCATACCTCCCCACACATCCTAATTTCCAAGAAGATGATGAAGATGACTTCAGAGCATGAAGATGTTTCCTAGGAAGTCTTCCACGGCAACTCTTACTCCCACTCCTATACTATACTATTTTCAAGAACAAGACTACAGTTGAGAACAATTTTAGGGAGAAGACTTGAAGTAGCTTTTAGGGAGGCTTCTCCTGATGGGTCCAAGCTCCTTAAAGCAATGTGTTATAAATTTTTATGGCTCATTCACTGGAGATGGGTCACATTAGAGAACCCAGGGGTTGCTTCTGCAGAGTTTTTTTTTTTTTTTTTTAGGTAATTTTGGATTTGGGATTTTTAATTTGATTGTTCAGTAAGTTCAAGTAATTATCTTGGTCAGATGGTGACCTTTCCTTTGATGTAAGCAATCCCCTGTAGGTGAACTGACAGACTAAGAGAAGGACCATAGGCGCAATCAAGGGACAAAAGATACCACACACTCATCCTTCTCACAACACATCAAAAGTCTCTTTCCCAGTTCATTCAGCTATCTATCCATCTCTCCATCTCATCAGTCCTTTCTGAATATCTATTGAAAGGCAGGAACTGTACGTGATGATGCAGGGCCAAAAATAAAATAAGACCTTATTCCCTTCTTTGAAATCAGCCAACCACGGTGGTCTGCAGCTAAGAGATACAAAAGTAGAGGCACTTGCTCAGGGGCAGAGTCTTGCCTAGAACCTAGGTCTTCTAATACTTAATCCTGGCTTATCTCACGACACCACAGCTATGCCTGCAGCACCTGTTGGTCTCCAACAGGGAGAAAACTTCTAAAAGAAGCTAGGCATTGCCTCTTTGCTTTTCCTGTTCTTCTAGTTTTCTTTTCTAGACCTGAAGACCTTTCAGCAGACATCAGCAATCGTGAGAGCTGTAAACTGTGGCAAGTCATATACATTTCAATACCTGATGGCCCAATATCATCACATTCATGGGATTGTCTCTCATAGTCTGCAAAATTACCACCTTAGAAGAAAGGTAAATATACTGCCCAAATCCCTAGTTTCTTGACCTCTCTACACTTGTTTTTTTTTGGTTTTCTTTTGACATGATTGTAAGGTCTTGATAGGTCAAGTGAATACAGTATTACCCTTAACATTTTATTCATTTATTTATGTTTAAATCGTGTGACTTCACTTGGCCTTAATTGAAGATAATTTCCCAATTTTGGACACTGAGTAAGGAGATCCAAAGGAATTTATCAGTCTCCCCAACCTATTTTACTTTTTCATTCAAGGCAGACTTTTTGTCTGCAATATGAAAATTCATGAATTATTTTTCCACAAACAATACCCTTCTAAAAATGAGAATTGTAGAAAGAATTGCAGGCTCAAAGAAGCACCTTAGGTAATGAGAATGGTGCACTAACTAGTTTGTTCCACAATAGGGAATATTTAAAGTTGCAGTCGAGCAGACTTTTAAATTAACAATGTGTTGTTGTTAAGTGCTGTTGAGTCGGTTCTGACCCATAGTGACCCTGCATAGGGTTTCCGAAGAGCGGCTGCTGAGCCTGAACTGCCAACCTTGCAGTTCAAAGCAACCTTGCCTTCCAGGCATTAACCCACAGCACCACACCAGGACTCCGCAGAGCCACATAGTTTTCCCAAAATGCTGCTCCCAGACACTTGACCAGACTGCCTTTCCAAGGAAAGACGAGAGGCAGACAGAACTGAAATTAAAGTGGTCTCAAAAAGAGCTGAGCTCCTTCCTTACTTAATACCACCGTTTTCCTGAGAAGCCAGGTGGCAGGATGTGGAGCGACCTGCACTGACAAAGACAGTCTGTGGGGTAGGGACTTGAAAGGGGGCCTGCAGATGGCTCCTAAACTGGGGCCCCCAAAAGGCAGTCAGCTGACCCATTTCTTCATGCATTCTTCTCTTACACTGCTGAAATTGTAAAAGAACTCATACTCCCCAACACTCCTGCACTGAAAACCGTCTGGAAGCGGTCCCTGTAAAGGTTAGATGCATGAAGCCCCCTACCCAGGCTGGATTTTGTACACCCTGCTACTCGCCCGCTCCCCCTTCTCTTCCCCCACCCCCCCACCCCCCGGCTTATCTCTGCACAGTCTACCACAGCGGATCTGCAAGGTTTACTTGGCCACGAGTTGGCAGCGCTTAATTCCCCCCAAAAAGGACAAACGGAGCAAGCACCAATGACCCAGCCAGCAAAGGAGCGCTAGAAATCTACTCTTCCCCACTTGGCTGCAGTTCAAGTCCTCTGCATTATCAGAAAGGATCAGCTGGCTGGGAGAATCCAGAGCTGTCACCCCAACATATGGCGCGGCAAACTACAGTGCCAGCATTTCAAAACCTAGAATGGGCACAAACGGCTAACAAACTACCCTTCAGTACCACTGCAAAACCAATGCCAAGTAGACTTGGCAAGCTTGAGAGTCGCTGCGAAGGATGCACCCACAGCCCTTATCCAAAAGGAGTGCATGCCTCACAGCATGGGGAGGCGCAGGCACTTACCTGTCCTGGCGGTGTGATCGTTTCCTAAAGTCTCAAGTCCCGGTTAGGGCAAGTGTGCTGCGGATGGGTCGAGCCAGTGTCCCATGGACCGCGGGCCCGTGCTCGCTCGCTGGCCGGGTGTTTGGGGGTGTAGATCTTGCCTGCCGCCGCAAGTCTCCAGCGGCCTTCACTCACACTGCTCCGCCCCCACGGGTTCTGAGCTTGCTGCACTTGGTCCCAACTCGAAGGCTTGCAGACTATGCAGTTCTCTTTTCCCCCGTTTCTGTTTTAGGGCTTGTGGACAGCCGGGGATTTCCACCGGGGACTTTCCAGTCACGTGCCTCCGGCCCAGTGCTGGCAGCTCAGGACCAGCCGCCAGGAGGCGTAGTTGACAAGTGCGCGGCTGCCGTCCAGCTCACCCCGCCCCTCTCTGCCCCGCCCCTCTCTGCCCTGCCCCGCCCATCAGCAACCGAGAAACTCCTGCGCCCCGCCCCCCGGGGTGTCCCCGCGTTAGTCACCTGGGCATTTCGGAAGCTAGGCCCAACGTCACATCCATGTGGAAATTGCGGTGATGGTGATAGGAACTGGAAATGAAATAGATTCTTTTTTTTTTCTTAGCACTGTTTCTGCAGAAAATCATCAACTGTGGAGAACAAGAAGGGAAATCATAGAGAAAGAAATCCCTAAAAACCACCCTGGTGTCCAGGACCGCATGCTGGGCGCCCAGTAAAGCAGCTTGGGCTGCACACGCACGTGATAGGTTCTGGTGGGGGATCCCAAGCCTGCCGAGTGAGGGAGCTGAGGACTTGGAGATGAAAAAGCTGGAAATCTTGCAGGGGCTCTTAGGTTTGCTAACCCCATCCCACGGTCTCAGTGGGAAGCAGGCCTGAGAAGACATTCCCTTCAGCCCTGAGACTTTGATCTTCCATGGGCAAGCCCTTCTTGTTTCAAAACGTTTCCCCTTCTCCATTTCCAAACATCAAGCACGTGGGTGGCATCATCTTCCAGTAGCATTTCAGTTGAAAAATCACTTCTAGTCCGTTATTGACCTTGCCATACCCCCTAAGAAAAAAACAACCCCCCCCCAAAAACTCACTGAGTCAATTCTGACTCACAAAAACCTTCTAAAACAAAGTAGGACTGCTCCACAGTAGTTCAGCTCTGTTCTATGATCAATGGGGTTTTTGAGCACCTGTACTGACCACCTTTAGAGAATAGCCAAACTAGATTCAGATTGAAATATTCTTCATGATTAATCTTTTAAATATGCTTAAGTAAACATATCGGGCCATGTGTCTTGAATTTTTAATTTGAAAATAGTTCTTCTCTGCAGTCGAAATTTACAAAGAATGGCACAGGGGTGGGGAGATTGTTGTTGTTACTAAATGCCGTGGAGTTAGTTCAGACCCATAACCCTGTATAGGGTTTCCGAGGAGCAGCTGGTGAGCTTGAACTGCTGACCTTGCAGTTCAAACGGCTTTGCAGTCTGGCGCATTAACC